AAAACTATAGCCAATGACAAACGGTTTTGTAGTTATTACACTTCATAAGGAGTCAGGTTAGAGGGGAAAGAATAAAGCACTATAATCCACAAGGCAAAACTATAGCCAATGACAAACGGTTTTGTAGTTATTACACTTCATAAGGAGTCAGGTTAGAGGGGAAAGAATAAAGCACTATAATCCACAAGGCAAAACTATAGCCAATGACAAACGGTTTTGTAGTTATTACACTTCATAAGGAGTCAGGTTAGAGGGGAAAGAATAAAGCACTATAATCCACAAGGCAAAACTATAGCCAATGACAAACGGTTTTGTAGTTATTACACTTCATAAGGAGTCAGGTTAGAGGGGAAAGAATAAAGCACTATAATCCACAAGGCAAAACTATAGCCAATGACAAACGGTTTTGTAGTTATTACACTTCATAAGGAGTCAGGTTAGAGGGGAAAGAATAAAGCACTATAATCCACAAGGCAAAACTATAGCCAATGACAAACGGTTTTGTAGTTATTACACTTCATAAGGAGTCAGGTTAGAGGGGAAAGAATAAAGCACTATAATCCACAAGGCAAAACTATAGCCAATGACAAACGGTTTTGTAGTTATTACACTTCATAAGGAGTCAGGTTAGAGGGGAAAGAATAAAGCACTATAATCCACAAGGCAAAACTATAGCCAATGACAAACGGTTTTGTAGTTATTACACTTCATAAGGAGTCAGGTTAGAGGGGAAAGAATAAAGCACTATAATCCACAAGGCAAAACTATAGCCAATGACAAACGGTTTTGTAGTTATTACACTTCATAAGGAGTCAGGTTAGAGGGGAAAGAATAAAGCACTATAATCCACAAGGCAAAACTATAGCCAATGACAAACGGTTTTGTAGTTATTACACTTCATAAGGAGTCAGGTTAGAGGGGAAAGAATAAAGCACTATAATCCACAAGGCAAAACTATAGCCAATGACAAACGGTTTTGTAGTTATTACACTTCATAAGGAGTCAGGTTAGAGGGGAAAGAATAAAGCACTATAATCCACAAGGCAAAACTATAGCCAATGACAAACGGTTTTGTAGTTATTACACTTCATAAGGAGTCAGGTTAGAGGGGAAAGAATAAAGCACTATAATCCACAAGGCAAAACTATAGCCAATGACAAACGGTTTTGTAGTTATTACACTTCATAAGGAGTCAGGTTAGAGGGGAAAGAATAAAGCACTATAATCCACAAGGCAAAACTATAGCCAATGACAAACGGTTTTGTAGTTATTACACTTCATAAGGAGTCAGGTTAGAGGGGAAAGAATAAAGCACTATAATCCACAAGGCAAAACTATAGCCAATGACAAACGGTTTTGTAGTTATTACACTTCATAAGGAGTCAGGTTAGAGGGGAAAGAATAAAGCACTATAATCCACAAGGCAAAACTATAGCCAATGACAAACGGTTTTGTAGTTATTACACTTCATAAGGAGTCAGGTTAGAGGGGAAAGAATAAAGCACTATAATCCACAAGGCAAAACTATAGCCAATGACAAACGGTTTTGTAGTTATTACACTTCATAAGGAGTCAGGTTAGAGGGGAAAGAATAAAGCACTATAATCCACAAGGCAAAACTATAGCCAATGACAAACGGTTTTGTAGTTATTACACTTCATAAGGAGTCAGGTTAGAGGGGAAAGAATAAAGCACTATAATCCACAAGGCAAAACTATAGCCAATGACAAACGGTTTTGTAGTTATTACACTTCATAAGGAGTCAGGTTAGAGGGGAAAGAATAAAGCACTATAATCCACAAGGCAAAACTATAGCCAATGACAAACGGTTTTGTAGTTATTACACTTCATAAGGAGTCAGGTTAGAGGGGAAAGAATAAAGCACTATAATCCACAAGGCAAAACTATAGCCAATGACAAACGGTTTTGTAGTTATTACACTTCATAAGGAGTCAGGTTAGAGGGGAAAGAATAAAGCACTATAATCCACAAGGCAAAACTATAGCCAATGACAAACGGTTTTGTAGTTATTACACTTCATAAGGAGTCAGGTTAGAGGGGAAAGAATAAAGCACTATAATCCACAAGGCAAAACTATAGCCAATGACAAACGGTTTTGTAGTTATTACACTTCATAAGGAGTCAGGTTAGAGGGGAAAGAATAAAGCACTATAATCCACAAGGCAAAACTATAGCCAATGACAAACGGTTTTGTAGTTATTACACTTCATAAGGAGTCAGGTTAGAGGGGAAAGAATAAAGCACTATAATCCACAAGGCAAAACTATAGCCAATGACAAACGGTTTTGTAGTTATTACACTTCATAAGGAGTCAGGTTAGAGGGGAAAGAATAAAGCACTATAATCCACAAGGCAAAACTATAGCCAATGACAAACGGTTTTGTAGTTATTACACTTCATAAGGAGTCAGGTTAGAGGGGAAAGAATAAAGCACTATAATCCACAAGGCAAAACTATAGCCAATGACAAACGGTTTTGTAGTTATTACACTTCATAAGGAGTCAGGTTAGAGGGGAAAGAATAAAGCACTATAATCCACAAGGCAAAACTATAGCCAATGACAAACGGTTTTGTAGTTATTACACTTCATAAGGAGTCAGGTTAGAGGGGAAAGAATAAAGCACTATAATCCACAAGGCAAAACTATAGCCAATGACAAACGGTTTTGTAGTTATTACACTTCATAAGGAGTCAGGTTAGAGGGGAAAGAATAAAGCACTATAATCCACAAGGCAAAACTATAGCCAATGACAAACGGTTTTGTAGTTATTACACTTCATAAGGAGTCAGGTTAGAGGGGAAAGAATAAAGCACTATAATCCACAAGGCAAAACTATAGCCAATGACAAACGGTTTTGTAGTTATTACACTTCATAAGGAGTCAGGTTAGAGGGGAAAGAATAAAGCACTATAATCCACAAGGCAAAACTATAGCCAATGACAAACGGTTTTGTAGTTATTACACTTCATAAGGAGTCAGGTTAGAGGGGAAAGAATAAAGCACTATAATCCACAAGGCAAAACTATAGCCAATGACAAACGGTTTTGTAGTTATTACACTTCATAAGGAGTCAGGTTAGAGGGGAAAGAATAAAGCACTATAATCCACAAGGCAAAACTATAGCCAATGACAAACGGTTTTGTAGTTATTACACTTCATAAGGAGTCAGGTTAGAGGGGAAAGAATAAAGCACTATAATCCACAAGGCAAAACTATAGCCAATGACAAACGGTTTTGTAGTTATTACACTTCATAAGGAGTCAGGTTAGAGGGGAAAGAATAAAGCACTATAATCCACAAGGCAAAACTATAGCCAATGACAAACGGTTTTGTAGTTATTACACTTCATAAGGAGTCAGGTTAGAGGGGAAAGAATAAAGCACTATAATCCACAAGGCAAAACTATAGCCAATGACAAACGGTTTTGTAGTTATTACACTTCATAAGGAGTCAGGTTAGAGGGGAAAGAATAAAGCACTATAATCCACAAGGCAAAACTATAGCCAATGACAAACGGTTTTGTAGTTATTACACTTCATAAGGAGTCAGGTTAGAGGGGAAAGAATAAAGCACTATAATCCACAAGGCAAAACTATAGCCAATGACAAACGGTTTTGTAGTTATTACACTTCATAAGGAGTCAGGTTAGAGGGGAAAGAATAAAGCACTATAATCCACAAGGCAAAACTATAGCCAATGACAAACGGTTTTGTAGTTATTACACTTCATAAGGAGTCAGGTTAGAGGGGAAAGAATAAAGCACTATAATCCACAAGGCAAAACTATAGCCAATGACAAACGGTTTTGTAGTTATTACACTTCATAAGGAGTCAGGTTAGAGGGGAAAGAATAAAGCACTATAATCCACAAGGCAAAACTATAGCCAATGACAAACGGTTTTGTAGTTATTACACTTCATAAGGAGTCAGGTTAGAGGGGAAAGAATAAAGCACTATAATCCACAAGGCAAAACTATAGCCAATGACAAACGGTTTTGTAGTTATTACACTTCATAAGGAGTCAGGTTAGAGGGGAAAGAATAAAGCACTATAATCCACAAGGCAAAACTATAGCCAATGACAAACGGTTTTGTAGTTATTACACTTCATAAGGAGTCAGGTTAGAGGGGAAAGAATAAAGCACTATAATCCACAAGGCAAAACTATAGCCAATGACAAACGGTTTTGTAGTTATTACACTTCATAAGGAGTCAGGTTAGAGGGGAAAGAATAAAGCACTATAATCCACAAGGCAAAACTATAGCCAATGACAAACGGTTTTGTAGTTATTACACTTCATAAGGAGTCAGGTTAGAGGGGAAAGAATAAAGCACTATAATCCACAAGGCAAAACTATAGCCAATGACAAACGGTTTTGTAGTTATTACACTTCATAAGGAGTCAGGTTAGAGGGGAAAGAATAAAGCACTATAATCCACAAGGCAAAACTATAGCCAATGACAAACGGTTTTGTAGTTATTACACTTCATAAGGAGTCAGGTTAGAGGGGAAAGAATAAAGCACTATAATCCACAAGGCAAAACTATAGCCAATGACAAACGGTTTTGTAGTTATTACACTTCATAAGGAGTCAGGTTAGAGGGGAAAGAATAAAGCACTATAATCCACAAGGCAAAACTATAGCCAATGACAAACGGTTTTGTAGTTATTACACTTCATAAGGAGTCAGGTTAGAGGGGAAAGAATAAAGCACTATAATCCACAAGGCAAAACTATAGCCAATGACAAACGGTTTTGTAGTTATTACACTTCATAAGGAGTCAGGTTAGAGGGGAAAGAATAAAGCACTATAATCCACAAGGCAAAACTATAGCCAATGACAAACGGTTTTGTAGTTATTACACTTCATAAGGAGTCAGGTTAGAGGGGAAAGAATAAAGCACTATAATCTATATATATTACTTTTCCTATTGCAAGTTGAGTTTTTCTACTCCAAGGAAATTGAAAAGATTTTGTACCTGGAGCAACATAGCCGATGGTTCCCCTTATTGCAATTGAATTGCTTTGACCTTGTGCCACATCACTTGAAACGGTAGAAATAATTTTCGCTAACCCGAAATCTCCAATATGGACTATCATCTCATCATCCAAAAGAACATTGCTTGGTTTTAGATCACCATGAATAATTGTTGACTCACAACCACAATGAAGATACTCAAGTGCAGAGGCAATATCAATGGAAATGCCCATCTTCTGGATTAGTTTAAGATTTCTAGGATCTTCTAGTTGCTCATTGTCTCCAACACCGACTTGATGCAACCAATTGCCCAAGTTTCCATTGGCCATAAATTCATATACCAGGGCTTTGAATTCATTACCATGGAAATCCACACTGGAACAAACACACAAAATTTTCAATAGATTTTGATGTCTTATGGCTCTTAGTGCCTTGCATTCTGACATGAAGCTCTTAGAAGCTCCTCTAGTCTGAAGATTGAGCACTTTCACTGCAACAACCATCTGAACGTGATCAAGAATCCCTTTGTAAACTGAAGCATAGCTCCCAACACCAATTAGATTAGCCTCTGAGAATCCATTGGTGGCTTTGAGAAGCTCTGCATAAGACACCCTCAAAAATTGTTGTTTGATTGATGGCATGCTAGAGGTCTTCTTTTTTGAAACATGATGTCGTTGAAAAAATATAAAGAAACTAACAAACAACGATAAAAGTATCACAAGACCAACCACCACTAGGATAACTTTCATCCTGTGAGATAGCTTATTCTTTCTTGATTTGGAGGATGGACAAGGAGGAAGGTCTAATTCTGCAATACCTCCACATAGCTCATTATTTCCAACAATTGAAACTGTACTCCCATTTTGAAACACTCCTTGTATTGGAACTTGTCCATGTAGCATATTAAAAGACAAATTCAACATATCTAGTTGAAGCTCACCTAGATAACTTGGGATCATGCCCGACAAATTGTTGTGTGAAAGATCCAACACTCTTAAACCCCTCATCAATCTTAAACCTTGAGGTATCTCTCCCACAAATGAATTAGCCTCCAAGTGAAGCCATTCCAGACTCAAACAATTGCTTAGAGTGTTTGGTATGGGTCCTGATAATTTATTATAGGACACATCCATGTTTGCAAGGTTTTTCAAAGACCCGATTTCTGATGGAAGAAAATCGGTTAGTGCATTGTGATCTAACGTGAGGGATGTTGAAATGGAGGAGAGACTCATAATTTCAGGGGGTATTGAACCATTGAAATTATTTTTATAAAGGTCTAATTCCAACAAGCTATGACAGTTGCCCAAAGTGGGAGGTATGCTTCCATGGATGTTGTTTTCTCCCAAGTTGAGAGTAATCAACGAAGTCAAATTACCAATCGAAGATGGAAGTTCTGTGAATTTGTTCTGGTCTAACATCAGAACTTACAGCTTATGAAGTCTGCCGATGGAGTATGGAATAGGGCCAACAAGATTGGTCACTGCCATAGATAAGACAGTGAGGTTGAGGAGGTTCCCGATGCCTGAAGGAATGCTTCCATGTATTTGATTAAACCTCAAATCTATCCAGCTATGATATATGGAGAGATTAGCTATGGAGTCAGGCAATGAACCTCTAAAAAGATTGTAACCCGCACCAATAAATTGTAAACTGGTGCAATTTGTTAGAGATGAAATAAAAGTGAGGTCATCCTGCAACCGATTTTGGAAAACACCTATCCGTCGAAGACCCAGAAGTTTTCCAAGATCTCTCGGCATTGTCCCGTTGAAATCATTTGCAGGGAAGAACATATTCTCAAGTTCTGAAGCGTTTGACAGTGATGTAGGAAGTGTTCCAGTAAACAAATTTTGCGAAAAATAAAGAAACTTGAGATAAGGAAGTGTGGAGCCTATATCAAGAGGAATATTTCCTTCAAGTAGGTTAACACTTACTGATAACAAAATGATGGTGGAGATATTGTAAAGGCCAGCTGGAACCTTGCCAGATAGGTTATTCCCCCTTAACCAGACACGTATCAGGCCTTGAAGCCTAGTAAGCTCCGCCGGAATCTTCCCATGCAAATTACATTCTGATAAAGAGAGAATGGAAAGAGATGAGAGGTTTCCAATGAAAGGAGGGATGGTTCCTGAAAGCTTGTTTTTACTCAAGGCTAAAGTTCCAAGCCTTGACAAAGAGCCCAACTCAGCTGGGATGATTCCGGCTAGGTTGTTGTCGACCAAGTTCAGCCATTCAAGTTTTGAGCAGCGAGAAAGGTTGTTGGGTATTCCACCGCCAAACGAATTGTTGCTGAATTCTAATTTTTGTAGCCGAAACAAGCGACCCATCTCTTGTGGGATTGGACCGTGGAAGCTATTGTTTTCGAAGAACGATACTTTTGAGGAAGGAAAGGTTTCCTATATGAGGTGAGAGCGATCCAACCAGGCCTTGGGACATTAGAGTTAGCCCAATAACTCTATCAGGATGCAGACGACTACACAAAATGCCGTCCCAGTGGCAGTACTTTGCCGTCCCAGTGGCAGTACTTTGGCACTACAAGAAATTACATTTTTGGCGACCAAATTTAGCTACAAAAATTAATTTAGTGGCCAAAAGTCAGCCCTTTGGCGACTAAAATTTGAATTGGTCGGCAATGTTCCATATTTTAGCTACTAAAATTTTTTAGTAGCCGTATATCACTTATTGGCGACTAAAACATAATTAGTAGCTAAAAAATGACCCAATCAACGACTAAAAAATAGTTAGTCGCTAAAAATAGCCCAATAGGCGACTAAAATACAATTAGTAGCTAAAAAGTTACTCAATATGTGACTAAAAATGACTTAGTAGCTAAACAATGACCCAATCAGCGACTAAAAAACAATTAGTCGCTAAAAATAGCCCAACAGGCTACTAAAATACAATTAGTAGCCAAAAAGTTACTCAATAGGCGACTAAAAATGACTTAGTCGCTAAAAAATTACCCTAAAGGCAACTAAAAAAATTTTGGTCCCTAAATGTATGATCTTTAGCTACTAAAATTAATTTAGTCGATATTAATTTACTTTTACCGACTAAATTTTAGTCGGCGATTATAATTAAAAAATTTAAAAATTAGACTTCAGATTTCGGAGGGAAAAACGTCTTTATTTATTATTGGCGACTACAAAACTTGGTCAGCAATGAAAATAAGGTTTTAAAAATACAGATCTGTCTCTCACTCTGTGACTCTCACTTTCTCATTCTCACTCTCTCACGCCTCTGCCCTCCTCCAGCTCTCTCTCTCGCCTTTGTCTCCATCGTCGTCGGGTACGGGAGCATCACCGCCATCTCACGCGAGCACCACCGTCAATCCACCATTGGAGCATTGCCCCAGTTATACAGAATAGCAGCAGTACGGAAGCCTTGTTGCATCTAGCGAGGGTTGAAGTCTGTCTAGATATTAAAAAACTATTTTTTCTTCTTCAATACAATGGCTCTCTCTCTCTCTCTCTCTCTCTCTCTTTATTCTCCTCATTAGTTTGTTCTCCAAACAAAAATTCAACATAAATTGCAGGTAATCTTCTTTGTTCCTTGCAAGATTTTGATGGCAAAGTTTGTGTTTGTTTTTATTTTTATTTGGCAACATTTTTAAATAGAAAAACATGTTTTTAATTGTTTTCAAAAAAATCTGCTCAAATTTGTTGTTTATGTTGATTTTGAATTGGATTGTTCAATCTTGCCAGGCCAGATTTCTTCAAGTTGTTTTTTGTTCACATCTATATTTATTTTGCTCACCAACTGTTCGGCATTTGGTCTGTGACATGTAGAAATGAATTGTTTAAGTATATATGGACCCCAAAGCATCTCTAGTTTGCTCATCAACTGTTTCACAATTGATTTGTGATACATAGGAATGATCTGCTGGAGCAATTTTAATTGTGTACTTTTGTGGATTTTTGTTAATTGTTTTTATTGATACTAATGTACTCGATAGTAATCTGCTGGAGCAATTTTCTTCTGGCAAGATTGATGCAGATGGTTGAGCAATTTTTTGCTGGCAATTTTAATCTGCTTGATAGTAATCTGTTGGAGCAATCTATTGATACTAATGCTCTGTTTGAAAATTGGTTTGTGATGCATAGTAATCTGCTGAATTTTTGTGATGCATAGGATTTTTTTTAAGATGAACAAGTTCTGTACTTTTAAGTTGTTTGTGTTTTAAGATGAAAAGTTCTATTTTTGTTGAACAATTCAGCAGATTCGACCTTTGTTTCATTACACTTTCGGCCACTTATGATTTCCAGGACAACAACACCGAAGCTATACGTATCAACCTTCTCAGACAACTGTCCATGGATGGCATATTCTGGTGCTGTCTAACCCCTGTTGCATGAGAAAGTAGTTAGTTATCATTCAATGGTTTCAAATATTTTACTAGAAGTACTAGATTTGTTACATGAAAACATATCACTGGTTTAATTTCAATTAGGAATCAAAATAGCCTCTAATACAATCCATTATGTCACTCACAAAAATTACGGATGTATGTCACTCACAAAATAGCCTCAACATTGTTCTTTTAGGTATCTTTTCAAAGATATGGAATATCAGATATGCAAACCATTAAAAGATTTGAAACTCAACATTGAACATAGGGATTAATAAGCTAAGAAATGGTTGGTTTCATGCTTACAAGGTCCCGGAAAATCTAGTGCTAAGATGACTTTGTTCCTCAGGTAGAAGCCTTGCCAATCCAAAATCAGCTATTTTGGGTTGGAAATCATCATCTAGTAGAATATTGCTGAATTATATTGCTAGTTTCTTCACTGCAATTATATTTCCATTTTTCAGAGTACCCTATTCAATGACTTAAGGATGAAGTTGAGAATATAAATATGCAACATTCAATTTGTGAATCAAAAATTGTAATGAAACTGGTTGGGATTGTTTGTCTTATTTTTTGTTGAATTTGAATTGAAGGTTCACTTTAAGGATTAAACTAGGATTAGTAAGGGACCTATTTATACATCTTGTGGGATTATTTTAAAGGGCAAAAACTCAACTTTAACTTGTTGGATTCACAAAAGTGAAGTTATTCATTATCTTCATCATGAATATGCCAAGGCTCCTCTATTTGCTGTTGGAACTAGTATTGGTGCTAACATTCTGGTATGTTGTGATTGTTGGATCTGTTTTTTCATACCTCATATATTTAAGTGTGATGTTCAAATTGAATTTTAAAAAACAAAATCTATTTCCCTAAACGTTGGCCACGATTAGTTCTGTTTCTGTTACTTGATAAATTTTAAGAGTTTGTTGTCAGGCTGTGTGAATTTACAGGGCATTTGTTGTTGTAAATTTAATTAATCTCACATTCTTTTCAACAAATTTGAGTAACACTGTCATCTGGATTTGTTTATATATAATCTTATAATTTGTTTTGGTGTGAAAGTCACAATTTTATAATTTGTTTTCTTTTGAAGCATTATATTTATTTTCTTGCAACTGAATTTGGCAACTCATTAGTTTTGGTGTATAGACTACAATATTATAGAGATTATTTTACAAAAAAATGGGTGGGCAATGCAGTGATAAGTAGATGTGAATGTAACTTATAATTCTATAATAAATTGTAGAGTGAAACTCCTTGTCATGGTGTATCTGTGATTGTAAATTCCTAGAAAATTGCTCTGCACATTACGACATTCAAATAGCTGGAACAAGCTTAGTTCTTTTTGTTTAAAGAATGTATACCCATTAGAATGCAATGATATACAATTATTTACTTGCTATTCTTGTCGTGTTTTTCATTTTGATTGTGAATATGTTGCCTATATTTTAATAATTTTGAATTTTTTTTTTTTGGGTGCTAAATATGTGCATATTCATTTTTATTTTGTTTATTTTGATTGTGAATATGTTGCCTATATTTTAATAATAGCTGCTATACCGAAGTAACAACTAAGTAATGGCAGATTTTATCCAACATTTTGCTTTACAGACTACCCACCTATCAAAGGGGGTTCCTTCTAGGAGCTATAATTAGAAGCAAAGATAGTAACGTTTTCAGGATGATAATTGTAGCTACCAATTTGTATAGAGAGCTCTAAAGATGAAGGTCAAAGTTCCGTATGACTGTAATGCAAAAACTTAGTCGAAAAAAAAGGGGTTCGTGGGGCGAAAATGCAAAACAGCCCCCGAGCCACAATGTTTTCGTAACGGGAAGCTTCCCGGTGATAAATGTGACATGTAGGGATAGACGGTATGTAAGTAGGACACGTACGTTGGGAGTTAGGGTTGAAAATGTCATATACTTAGTCGAAAAAGGAGGTTCGGGGGCCGAAAATGCGAAACAGCCCCCGAACCACTGTTTTTTCATAACGGGAAGCTTTCCGGTGATAAATGTGACATGTAGGGACAGACGGTACGTTTTCAAGGACACGTACGTTGGGAGTTAGGA